ATGGCCTGATGCCGTGAGGATTGGGGGTAGGGTTGAGAGGGGAAGGAGAAGGGTGAGGTGGCCTGGGGAAGGGGGAGGATGTTTTGTTGAGGTTCTAGGGATGGGCGGGGGTGGGGGGGTCCCTGGACCTCTTCTGGTCTGGATCTTCCCAACCCCCATGCTCCAGCGTGATGTGGTCCCCATCACCCCTCTGGCTGGGGCCCAGGAGGGAAGCCCCAACAGAATGGGGATGAGGGGAGTCTCCTCCACAAGCCAGCAGGGCTCTGTGTTGTTCGAATCCCGTGGGGAGAGCCAGCCCAGCCCCCAGGCCACAGTGGACCTGCCTCACTCCTGCCTCTGCTGGGCAGAACAGGGCGGCGCTGGCCTGGGCTCCAACGGTGGGACAGGGAGGTGTTTAGACCCAGGTCTCTAGCGGTGGAGAAAGACCAGTCCCTGTCCCCCACCCCACCCCACAGGGTTCCTGTGCCTGCGCTCTGAGCACGTCCTGGTTTTCGCGGTGGGCGTCACCATCTTGGGTGTGTGTCACTACACACTCACCGTCAAGGGCAGCCACCTGGCCACGCATGGCGCCCTCACCGAGTCCAAGCGCTGGAGCAAGATCTGGCTGCTTTTCTTTGTGGAGGTGAGCCTGGGAGAGGTGGGGGTGGCCGCACACACAGCCCTGTTCTGTGCACGCACGCACACGTGCACAGCTGCTCGTGCCTGGCAGCGGGCGGCGCAGCTCTGGGGTCGTGGACCGAGTGTGTGGGTGCTGCAGCTGTGGGGTGTCTGCGTGGACGCACTGCCCAGCCTCCAGAGGGCGTCTGCGCGGACTCTGCCTGGGCACCCTTGTTTCTCCTGGGGAAGTCCACTTGCCTCTGGGGCTTCAGGTCAGGTGGCGGCCAGGGCTTCCTCCCCTGCCAGGACACCTGCTCTGGCAGGTCCCAGTATGTGCCTGTCTTGGCTCAGGGCTACAACCTCTGGGGCCTCTGGGTTTTGTAATCAGGGTTTAAAATGTGACCCACAGGGAACCAGCAGTTAGTGTAATGGCTATGTCGCTGGACTCCCACGTAGTCGACCGCGGTTCGTGTCCCGGACCCGGTGGCTTAATCTCACGCCGGGCGCGTGTGCGTGCGTGCCCAAGATCCCGAGAGGAGAATGGAGGAGAAGGGATTGCGGCGTGACCATCCCCCCTGGGGGGTGATTTCTCGCTTTCTGTCTCTGTGTCTCTCTCTGTCTGTCTGGCGAGCGCACGCGCCCTACAGTGAAAATCTCTCAAAAAAAAGAAAATGTGACCCACAGACAGGGAGGGCCCGGAATCACAGGGCCAGCCTCAGCACCATGCCCCGTCTCCACACCATAACCTCTGAGCCCGGTGCTGAGCCAGAGCCATCCCGAGGAGCCCCTCCCCTTCTCTCACCCTTGCCCTCACTTCCACCCCCTGTCCTGTCTTGCCTCTCACCTATGGGCAAGCCTGGGAAAGCAGAGGTTTCTGGCCAGGCTGTCCTCTTCTGGCTCTCACCAGGCCTCTCCATCTCCTCTGTGGACTTGTTCTCTCCCTCTTTCCAGGTGGACCCCACCTGGCCTTCCTGGTCCCTTATGCATGAAGAGGAAGTGGGGGGCAGTAGATAGCGTAATGGTTATATCGCTGGACTCCCACATGGGTGACCACAGTTTGAGTCTGGGACCTGGTGGCTTGAAAATCATGCCCAGCACGTGTGGATGCATGCTCAGGATCCCAGGAGGAGGAGGGATTGCAGCGTGACCATCCCCATGGGGGCAAATTCTCATTTTCCCTCTCACCATCTCTTCTGTCTCTGTCTCTGGCAATCACATGAGCCCTATAGCAAAACCTCTTAACAAAAAAACCCGGAAAGCCAGTAAATACAGAGAAACGGCCATTTCCTGCCAGGGACTGGGTCCCACTGCCTCAGTGACTACCTTCACATACAGTGTGTGGACCTCATGTAACGACTCGCGCACGCCGTCTGTCACAGAACGCCACACCAGCTGAGTGGGGCTAGCATGGCTCGCACTCCCTGCCCGCCATTTCTCCGTCCCCACCATCCACCAGCACTGCGCTCGCCGACCTGGGCGCCCACTGTCCCTTTACATGCGTCATCTCTTGTGCCCACCTCGCCTTCCTCAGAGTCGAAGCTCTTATTACCCTCACTGCGTCTGAAGTGCAGAGACGAGGGGACCTTGTCCCCTGCTCCTCAGGACCAACTTCAGGACACTTTCTTGGGGGCCAGCCGGTGTCGTGTTAAGGCGGCTGGATCCCACATGGCCAACTGCGCGATTCAAGCCACAGACCTGGTGACTTGAAAAACATGCTGGGGACATGTGTATGCATGCCCAAAATCCCAAAAGGAGAAATGGAGAAGGGATTGTGGGGTGGCCATCTCAGGGGGATGCTTTCTCTCTGTGTCTCTCTGTGAGAGACACATATGCCTTATAGCAAACTTTAAAAAAAGAAAAAGAAAAGACACTTTCCTTCCCAGGGTCCCTGGGCACGATCCAGCCAGACCCTGAAACACAGGCCAGACTCTGGAGTCCGGTTCAGAGCTCCAACGAGTCTGCCAGCACAGAGAGGCGGAGGGGGCCCTGGGCTGGGCCGGCCACCTGAGCGTGTGTGATGCTGCAACCGTGGGGCAGGGCAGCTGTGGGTTGTTTCGGGGATGTGTAGGGTGCCCGGAGCCCGGGGCAGCTGCTGGGGAGCGGTATTGTGAGTGTGGACTAATCTGTGGCCCCACTGCAAGATGGCCTTGTGGTTCTCAAACTCTGGCGTGTGACAGAGTGACCTGGAGCCCAGGTGTGTTGGAGAAGGGGGCTGGGCGGCTGCATTTTTACCAGTTGCCCCAGTGAATCTGATGCCGACACCGTCGTGTGAGACCCCTTGACCGAGATGCTGGAGAACACAGACGCTATCATACGTGCTGAACCAAGGCAGGGAGCCAAGAACACCTCCCCTGAGACACCCTCCCAGACTCCCAGGGTTCACCAGCTCCGAACTGGAGCTAGGACCCAGGGCTAGGACCCTTCCCTGACCTGCTGGATCTGGGGATGAGGCAGCTGTTTCTTCCCTACATACTCCAGAGTCGTGCCCACCTCCCACACCAGGTGAACTCCCTCCGAAGACCCGTTTCTGGCCTGCGTGAGGGAGTCTCATTGTTTCTGGTGGCATAGCCCTGGCCTTCCCCAGCTGCTGGTAACCCTGGCCTTGCCCGGTGAGAGTGCCTGCCCCTCCATCCTGGATTCTGTGGCCAGACAGCCACAGCAGGGTGGCAGGCAAGGCCACCTTGGTTTAAGTCCTGAAGCCCAGGAAGGATTAACTCCTGAACTCAGAGGCTTTAGAACTCGCCCAAGTGTCACTCACAGTCCAAGAGTGGAAGGGACAGGCCGTGCCAGACACTAAGCTCTTTATCATGTCTCTGTCAAGCCTTCTGCAGAGCCGGCTTTGTGCTGCAGGGGTGGGGCCACAGCTGGTCCCAGCGCCTCTGAGAAGCTGTGCAGGAGCCTCGCAGGCCCCAATCTGTCCCCGGGGGAAGGGTGTCACCGGGAATGCCCCATCATTGTCCTGGCTCACGTGGTGGTGGAGACAGAGCCCAGCCCTGATCCTAGAAGTTCTCGTCCCTGCTCTCACCCAAACCCAGAGAGGTGCGGTCTGAGTAAGTCTAACAATGGCTTCTTCTTTCCTCATTTTATTTTATATTTATTTATTTATGGGATATTTTAGCTATAGGGCACATGCTCTTGCCAGAGACACAAAGCAAAAGAGACAGAAAGCAAGAAGTCACATTTCTCGCCGCAATCCCTTCTCCTCCATTCTCCTCTCAGAATTCTGGGCACACATGCACATGCACCTGGCGTGAGTTTCAAGCCACTGGGTCCGGGACACAAACTGTGGTCAACTATGTCGGAGTTCAGCGCCTTAACCACTCTGCCACTGGTGGCCTCTCTTTTAGTATTTTAAAAATGTACTTAAAGGGTGAACTCAGGTCTGTGGTACCAAAATATACTTCTGTAAAACAGACAAACAAAAACCAACTCAAAAACCAACCTTTTTCTTTTTGAAATAATTACAGATTCACAGGACGTACAGTACAGGACAGACAGGTCTGGCGTCTGCTTCACCCAGTCTCCCAATACTGGCACTTCCGCAGGCAGCAGATAGTGAAGCCAGAGACGGCCTTGGGGTGTGTGCGTGCGTGTGTAGTTCTACAGTGTTTACCACACGTGTGGATCCTCAAAATGTTCTAATGAGTCTGCACCCCAGCTTTGGTCAGCGTCCCTGAGAGTGAGCCCAGGCCTCCGGGAAGGCAGTCTGGTCTGTAGTGAGTCACTCCTGTGGGTTCGGAAAACCTGGCTCCCTATCTCTGGACTCTGAAGGGTTGTGGGCAGCCCCTCCGAGGCAGAACAGGGCTGGGGGCGGGGGCAGCTGTGAATGAGACCCAATTCCAGTTCCCCAAGGGCTCAGAGTCAAGTGTGGAAAAAAACTCCTGTGAATGGCACCCAAATACTGAGGAACCCTGACCATCCTGGCCCACAGTGTGGGCCGCTGACCATGCTCCTTCACGTTAGCGACAGCATTAACCATCTCGTCTCCCAAGGGCTCCCACTTTGCCGATGGTGACACACCAATATGGGAGGCTGTCACTGCACAGCCAACAGCTTGTCCAGATGACCCAGCTGGGATTGAGACCCTGGTGGCAGCACCTAGCACAAGCAGGAGGTGCCGAGGGCCTCGACCAGGGCAGAGCGGAGGCTCCGAGAGCTCTAGGTGGCAGTGCAGGGCAGGGACGCTTGGCGCTATCTGGGGACATTTGGGGCTATTGCAGCAGGTGTGTGTGTATGTGTGAGTGCGTGTGCACTATGGCTATCTAGTGGGTAGAGATGGGGTGCTGCCCAGAACCCTACGATGTCCAGGACCGTCCCCATAGCACAGAACGATGAATGAGCGATCTGGCCCCATGTGTAGCTGGAGGAGGTCAGGAAGCACTACACCGAGACCTGTCCTGGCCCGCTCTGGCCGTTCTGAGCCTGCGTGCTACTGAGGCATTGGGTTCAAGCCTTCCTGGGGGCATGGAGGGTGGGGGCCATCTTGGGACAAGCAGCAACCTTCAGGCTTCCGAGACTGTTTCTGGGTCTGTATGCAGAATCCTCTTGGGAGAGACCTTCAAATAACCCCTT